GGCACTTTTTTCTAAGAGACTGTAAAGTTTCCTTTGATCAAACCTCATAACGCCTATGGTAAGATTCTAGGGTTAGTCATTTATTTCTCATATGTTTGCATAAACAGAAGGGCAAGGACTTAATCTAGTGAGCAACTCCTTGTGTTTTAATAAGGTAATGAGTGTTTTGATTGGGAAATGCCTTATTAAAACATGACAACAAAGCAGGTCCCAATTAATCCTCCACTAGTAGTCACTGTTTAAATAATTGTCCTCTCCATGAGAAATATACCTCATGTACAGTAATCTGATATAATTCTCTCATCACTATTCACGTTTTTCAGTATAACTATAATTTATCAATTCTTCCACTCATTTCACAAACACTTATTAAGCACCTCGTATGAGTTGGAATCGACTTGATGGCAGAGGGTTTGCTTTTTTCTTTTTTTAATGTGCCAGAAATGTGCTATGCATGGAGAATACAAAGAAAAAATAATGTTGATGCTCTAAGGAGTTCACACAATTAACTTGCAAAGACAGACATAAAAATTAACACGTACAATACATTGTGAAACATACTAAGATGAGGCAGGTGTAGAAAATAGGCACATCAAACCAGGTTGGCAACAGAGAAGGCTTTCCAACCAACCTAATCTCTGATCTGAATCTTACAGTATGGGTAGATGTGGGAGGGATGTTTCCTTCCAATATTTCACTTTCTGACAATTCACACGCATGCATAAAGGCACAAGGATGAAAAGAACATGACACAGTTTGGGAACTGCTAGGAATTCCATCTGGCTTTCGTCAAGAGCCTGTGAGTGTGTGCTGTGGCAGCATATTGAGGTACATGATTACGTGGTAGGCGGAGAGTTGAAGAAGAAAAAAGAAAATTATATTGAAAAGTTAGAGACAGGCCAGGGGACTTGGGGTCCTGACTATTAATGGTAGCAAAATAAACTGTGCTAAATTTAGTATGTAATTAAATACTTAGGCAAACATTTTCAAACAAATAAACAAATGTTCTAATTTTCCATATTAAAAAAATAGAACAGTATTTTCCCCAAGTATTAAAAATAACTAGTATTTAGAATAGTTTTTCAATAACATTAAACAAGTTTCTTTAATTTAGGGCTTTTCAGAATCCTTAATATTCTCCTTGAACCATGAATCTCCAAGATGGGCATATAATCTGCAGTGATTCCCAATTTAAAAGCAGATCTTATTTTTCATAATCTAACAAAAGTTACAATTTGAAGACACTAATATTTTATCAAACAGAAAATTTAAGTGGATT